GCCTTGCATTTGCAGGGACATTGGCTGGGGCAGAGCTATAGCCCATTGTTGCAGGCCAGAAGCTAATGGTTCCCTTATGGGCTGTGATTTCAGTCACTTGCTGCTCCAGCCAAGTGAGCCAGAAGACCACAGACAACAGACCTCTTGTCATGTTATTGTTCTCAGAAATCTGGGATGAAAGAAGCAGAATAAATCTCCAGCCAAGGCAAAGCCTAACCTTAGGTATACATACAAAAACACACACATCGATTGAGCCAACAGTATTTTTGATGGATGATTATTGGGGCTTTCCAAGAATCTGGCAAAAGAACACTTGAAGGGGTTTTAGCATAGCCTTAAGATTCATGAGAGCTATTAACCTCCTTATGTTATCATTTTGCCAAAATAATTAACAGAGGAGCAGAAAGGGTTTTTCCTCAGGGGGTTTCTAAATCAGGGGTCTGATCACTTTATCCTTCTTTAAGTTTATAGTGCCAAACATAAGTAGCATAATAGTAACCCTAGATAAATAGCAACCTTATATTCATACCACTGTGGACCTTTTTGCATCTAGGGGAGAGAACCGATATGGGGAAGAGAAAAAATGATTAATTCAATTTAATCATTCACTGAATTTATCTGGTGTTCAGAAGGCCTTGGGAAAATATAGTTTAAAATAAAATTTTATACAATTTTAATCAGCACTCATTGGAATAGACTGTGATGCCCTGTGAACAAAATTTTCCAAGCGTAGTACATCTGTAATGGCAGAACTGTGTCTCATCACTGATGTGGCCCCAGTGCTTAGAAGAATGCCTGGCACATGGCTGATGCTAAACAACTATCTGTCTACCAGGGAACTGTCTTAGTAGGTTTCCTTCCAGTTTCTCACTGTGATGATGATGATGATGATGATGTCGGCAGTGCTGTCTACTTGGGAAGCATATACATTAATCGTCCCAGCAATACTGTGAGGTAGTTAAAATTACTGCCCTTGAGGGAAATGAAGGTTACACTCTGTTACACTCAGGTCACAATGCTAGAAAGTGGTAGAGCTGGGATTCTCACTGAGGTCTCCCTGCATCTCGAATATGAATTCTTAATTGCTGTTCTAGACTGGCTGCCTACAGCCTATGTCAGTGCGAGATGGTAAGCTTGAATTGTTGTCTAAAATCAGAAGGAAGAATCCTTCAGTTTGTTTCAACACCATTTTTGGGACGTGTGTAGCAAGAGGGAAGTGTGTCTATTTGACTCCACACTCCAGCGGAGGTCATATTTTTTGTAACATGGCCCTTGTGAAATTCACCATTTTTGATGATTCCAAAAATGACTCTAAAATTTATCTGTAAGTTATTTATTTTGGGGGCCCCAGGACATATTTTGCAACAACTACTTTGCTACAAAATGAGAATGTGCTTCCCAGAGTAGTTCATAAAAACCAATTTAACTCATAATTAAAATACAGTGTATCTGCAGCGATAAACTAGTAATTAAACTGGATGGAAAAAGGTACCATTCAATAAGATATAATTTACAAAATTAAGTTTGGTGCTCAAGGAAATGCAGACTTAATGAAGAAAAGATTTTTTAAAAAATCTGAAGGTGACTTCTGATGCTTTTATAAAGGATTTTAGACATAGGTCATACTGGCTTTTTAGTTTCAATTTCTCTGCGAAACCTGGCTTCCCTGTTGTTTGTACCTTAGACACAGGTGATAGCACGAGGTATCCTCATAGTCGACACCATCATCAGATTTTGGTGCACATTTAGAACAAAAGATGGAGGGAGATAGAAGGAAAGGAGGAGGTGCTGGCCTGGGTGGGGGTGGCCAGAGGAGAGGAGAGAGGATAGCAGAGATGATGTGTGTGCGGAGATGTAGAGCTAGGGCTAGGGCTCACAGACCCCTTGAGCTGGTTGTCCAGACTGGGCCACAAACCCTTCACATGCAGGTCTACGAGCTAGGTAATAGGAAAAGGTCCTTATCTGTTAGAAGGAGTCTTCTATTTAAGTCTATTAGAAATTGAGAAAGAAGAAGGGGATTATTTGTAGAAGCTGCAGAAATCATACGCTGCAATCTGAAAAAGAAATCATACTTTTTCACCACTGGCAATAAAAAGATTTAAAAAGAGGCCAGTTAGTGCTAAGATAGAGATATCAGAAACATTTATAATCAAGAGTTGCTCTAAGAAGATGGCTTTGAATAAACAGTTTGCAAAAGAGCCTGAACACATTGTTCAGATATAAAATAAGTCAACAGAAAAATATGATTTGGTTTGGAAGCACATTTTTAGGAACATAATTATTACAACCCCCCCCCCCCCCAAAAAAAACCCAGATGCACATGTGCAATCACATTAGACAATAACAAGGAGCACCCGTGCACACGCGCATACCCACCTCAGATGCTCAGCAAGACTCTGAACACCCTGGGGGGGCCCTGATCATTTTCCTTATATTTTCTCAACAGGAGATGAGCTTGGCATGGGGAACAAGGACAGGAAGGAAGGAGCGACAGGTGGGCACAGGCCTCTTGAAGAAGCACAACTGTGGGGAAGACAAGTCGATGAGGGTGAAACAGGAGGTGCTCAGTTTCCTTGGGTCTGGGTTTCAGGACAGTCCACTGAGATTCAGGCCACTCCCCAAGGTCTCTGGCCCCTCCACTGGGCCCTCCCCTGGAGGAGAGTTACTGTTGCTAATTGCACCTATTCTTAGCACCAGCATGGGAAATTGAGACCACAAGGGGCAGATTTGTATCCACCAATGGCTGAGCATGCTCAGTAAAAAGTAGTTATATAACTCCTGAGGCTGAGCATGCTCAGTAGAGGGGAGTTTATCCTTTGAATGACCTTCCACCTTCCATGGAAGAGCTAAAGAGCACCTAGAATATTCTGGGTGTATTTGATGCATAAGAAGGAATTTAATGAGCATGCTCTAAAAGAGACCAACTGAGCATGTGCAAGATCGTTACATAACTGGGAACCACCCCCTCACTTAAATATTCATTAGACAGCATGAACATGTATTAGATAGTGACAAAAAAAATGGAATACTGGTAGAAGGTGAGGCTATTGCTCACTCTCCTGGAGGCAGCCCACACTTTGTCTGAGGTGTGTATTTCTTTCTTTTTGTATCAGACTTGCCTTTAGCAGGCTGCTTTCACTCTGGAGCCAGCCTGCTCTTTGTAAATGTGTATTTCTTACTTTTGTATTAAACCTGCTGTGGTCAGTTGCTGGCTTTCCTGGGGCCAGCCTGCTCTTGGCTTGGAGAGGTGCGTATACTTTACTTTTGTGTAAAGCTTATTTCTAAGGGGCAGCTGCTCACTCTCTTGAGCTGGCATACGCTTTGTACTACCCGTTAAGTGTGCACTTCTTACTTTTGTGTTAAACTTGGTGCAGGCCCTGCTCAGTCTCTGGAGCTAGGCCACGCTTTCTCTGTGAAGCCTATACTTCTTATCTGTTACATTAAACCTGTTTTCACCTCGTACTGTGACTCTGCTCTTGAATTCTTCTCTGTGGTAGAGACAAGAACCTGCTGGAGGATGGGGTGGTTGAGGCTGGCTACGGGGCCTCCCCAGACCCTCTTGTCTGATATCAAGGGGGGGTGTATGTGTGCACCACCGTACCCATGGGGTGCGTGTTCTCATGTTTACTTGTTCAGTTATGCCATTTATCAGCCATCATCTTTGTGCCTAGCACTGTGCTCACAAAGTCCAGGTCCTCAGGAAGCTTACATTTTTGTGTGGAAAAGAGATAATAAACAAGCCAACAAATATGTAAAAAACAAATTAAATAATAGTGACAACAACCAGGATGAAAGTAAATAAGGCACTAAGAGAATAAATCACAGGGTACCAAACTAGAAGGTAAGAGGAAAGGTAAGAGGAAAATCAACACGCGCAGCATGAAGAGGAGCCAGAAGAAAAGCATTTCAGGGACAGAGACTAGCAAAAGCCAAGGGCCTAGGAAAGCGAAGAACCTGGTGTGCTCTAAGATTTGGAAAGAAGCCGGTGGGCCTGGAACTCGGTGGTTAAAAGGGAGACAGAGTCATGATGAGTGAGCAGGGGCGGGTCCATGGATGACCTCGAGGGCCAAGCCGTGGAGTTAGAAGTTAGTTCTAAGACCATGGCGAGCCACTGAGGGCTTTTGAGGGAGGGAGAGACAGGGTAGAAGAGCTTCCATAAGATGGTCTGGCTGCTGGGAGAACGTGTTGAGGTCAAGAAGCAGCTGCGGCCATCACGGGACACGTGTTATGATCAATGCACAGATGGGCAAATGCTACTGCTGCTTGCCACCTGGCATTTCACAGCTGGAGGCACACTCAGGGAGTAAGAGTAATGTGGTTTTGAGACTTTTGGATTTCACAGAGCAATAGAAAACAAAAGTGGGGGACTCAGAGAGTATTGCAACTTTCTACGTGGTAAAAGAAAGTAAAATCTCAGCTACCACCTACGATCACCTTCATTTCATAGAAGAAAAGATACTTTTAAACCAAAAATATATGGACATAATCCCAGGGAAAGAAAAAACAGTTTTATAGAAAATGCTATACTTTGTTCATATTTTTTACATTTTGCACTAGAACCAGTGAAAATCTCATTAACAGATTGGGTTCAAATCCACAGATCAGCATTCAGAACATCAGCACTAAGGAAGCATTGATACCTTCCTCATTTCATGGATGAGAAAACTTGTACTTCAGAAGGCATGTGTCTTTCCCAGGGGAATGAGGTTGGTTAAGGGCAGGGAGCCTAGGTTTCAGTTTCCTGACTCCAGGTTAATTCTTGTTCCATTATGTCACCATGCTGTATAATTCAGCATATTTCTTACACTTTTCCAAGGTTCAGATACGGTACCATCTGTTCTGGTCTAGTGAAGAGTATGCCAGCCATTCTTACCGACCTGCCAATATTTCTAAGGGCTAGGATACCTATTAAGAAACAAGCACACAGCAAATCAGCTTCAGCCTAGAGCTTAACAAAATGGAATCCTTTTCTTTCTAAAGAAGAGTAAGGTGCATCTCACCTGATCTTCAGGTATGCTGCAACTCCAAACACCAACAATACCACGGCAATGACTGTCACCGTGATGGCGGCAATGCTGCCTGTGAAGGAGGAAAGGCACAGGAAAGAAGAAAAATAGAGAGAGTTTAACAATTTTGGAGTGTATAGGACCCATCCTCTGCCTGGTCCCATCTTTTCTCTGAAAAGGTTACCTACTTTACATCATTCTGCATAGAAGTCAGAGCTAGAACAAAACCCAGGATCTTAATTCTGTTACCAAAACGCTTTTTATGCCAGGCAAGGTTCAGTAAATGGTCAACATTTATTTCAATATATATCAAGACCTGTTGGCTGGCCTTCAGTAATATTTGATTATCTTTTTAAGAACAACACCAATCTGTTGTTGCTGCTGCTGTTGTTTGCAGGGGTAGTGATTTTAAATCTCTTGATGCCTATTTTCCTCTTTATAGGCTCTGGCTCATCGTTTTATCACTCGAGAAATATTGGGAGACTTATTCAAGGGTCATTACAAAGTAATGTGGTTGGTTTTTTAATAAACCAGATCCACACAGTTATATCAGTAGTGTCTACGTCAAAAGGGTCACCTTGGTAGGAGATGTGCTCATTTTGACGATGCCATCAAATCAAAATATTTTCTAATACTCTTCTTTGGGATGTGTGTCCAGCTTTCATCTTTGAATGGTAAATTTGGTTTTATAGAGAATAAAGTCAAGTTTGGTGTATAAAATAAGATCAAATTTGGTAAGGTAACACTATTTTTTTGTTTGTAGAAATAACTAGGTGCAATTATAAAGTAACATGAACATTTTATTCTGTTGTGTAAAATCTGGTTCCAAGAGCAAATATTAATGGGCAGTTAAACAAAACCCTTTGAGCATGCAGCCTTGTAGGAATAACCATACTGGCTCTGAATACTACTTTGAAGCACAACACTCTTTTTGTGTGAGCTTTGGACTAATAAGGCTAATAATGTATATACTTCAGTTTTATTTCACCTTAGAAATGCCAAGAATCAATTGGGCTCTTGTCCCCTAGTACTTTAAAGTGACTTTTTGGCACTAAGGTTGGTGTTAGGGACCCTATTTACTCCTTCAGACCACTAGGAAATTATTTACTACTTCAACAAATGAATGGGACTCTTAAACACACTGGAAACAGCATATGAGATTCGGAGTCCTGATATGTGGATTCAAGCATGTGACCATGGGCTATTTACTTAACCCTGCTGACTCTTATACTTCTCACCTGCAGACACAGAAGGATACGAGTTTTCTACTCACCTCACATGATTTTAAGGGGATGAAATGAAATGCCACGTGCACCAATCTAAGGGACTATCCAAATGTATGATTTTGAACCAATTCCCATCTCTCATGAAGTAGGTCTCCTAAGTAATAAATTTCCCATGTTTTTGGAGATTTATCATTTGTAAATTATTTTGCCATCTCTCTTTTTATTTTTCCCCCTCTGGTATGAATGACTTTTGTTTATTGTTCTTTTCACTAGCCCTTCCACTGAAAGAACTGGAACATAGCTAAGCAGCAAATCAGTCTACTTATTAACTCTAGTAACTCCCCATAAGTTCTGAGTGAAAGAAGGCTACATCAGATGTGCATGCTCCCACTGGTTATAATTTCCAAAAGAGAGCCAACGAGGATCACTGTAAACATTGAGACTAAGACCAGGGCTTGATATGTCCACACAGACGGACCATATTCAACCATTTCAAAGAATACACACTTCTGGACACTCACACATCCATTTCTTTGCTCCTGAAATTCTTTAATTATAATTATCAGTATAATCCTCTTTCCCTTTTTACTATTGTAAAGACCGAATTATGGCACTATGATCAAAGGTGCAGATCAGTCAAGTAGAGAAAGTTCTAGGTCAATTCCCCTGATGGAAAACCTCCACTCCTACTTTGAAAGGCTGCTCTTAGCTTCTTGGCCTCCAAACTGTGCTGAAATTAGAGCAATTCAAAGTTCACTACAGCTTCTTAACAGCTCTTTCCAGAGTTTGTGAAAGGAGGATTATAACCGCACGGTGAGGTGATGGGGGTATTTTAAGATTCAAAAAGATACAGTCATTGTGATTAGAAGCAGTTCAAAAAACTGAACTTTTAATTTAATTTCTCCATTTTTTAAAAATGGAAGAAGAGCAAGAGTACACTTGATTTCCCTATAAGACTCTTCTTTGTTGTCTTAGGGATAGTTTAATATAGAAAATCGTAGGTTTGACCTTTTTCAAAGTTTCTTCCTTAACTCTAAGCTGTTGGGTTTCCTCCAATTCTGTGAGTTGCTGAATTTGTTTATATACCACCTCTTTTCTAAAGATAAACCAGGCAGTTCCCTCAACTCAAGTGCTGTTCTTTTTTTTTTTTTTTTTTTTAAGACAGCAAGTGATAGAGTGACCTCTATGCGACTGGTGGCTGTCTAGCTCTCGATGTAACCCCAGTCTTCAAATAGGACTCTTCAAGGTCACCCTTCCTTGTCCATAGAGGACATCAGCCTGTATGACCAGATCTGAAATTAGCAAATGATTTCTCATCTGATGGGCCTTTGAGGGCAGCTGGGCAAAGGAGCACTTCTGAGAGTTGGTACTGTGCAGTGTGAGGCCAAAAGGGAAAATAGATGATACTTAAACATTTGGACCACATCACTAACTATTCTGCCACCCACTGGCTCTTCCCAGAGGGTGCTAGCCATGGGAGCAGGAGTTCTCTGGAAACAGAAGACCCTTCTCAGCCCCTGAGCCAAGGAGGTCTTGTGTCCTGAGCTTGCTCTCCCCTCACAGCTTCCAGAAGTAGCCGCAGCCCTGGGAAGTTCCACACTCAGGGCGTCTCGGCTTGAGCACCTGAGGGGGTGCTGAGCCAACCACAGCACAACTTTATACGGTGAGGGAAAAGGCTTTATTTCCCCCTTGTGAAAACAAGTGTCATTGCCCCTGAGTTCTGTTTAAATTAAACTGGAATTCCCCTTCTCCTCCTCCTCTTTCTTTTCAAGGCCGGGCAGGGACAGAAAAGGCGAGGAAGGTGTGGGTGGCCACGGAGGCTTTTGCCTGTGCGAGGGTGCAGGCTGTTGGAGGGGCAGTGTGCGGGGACGGGGGCAGCGGGCTGGCCTTTCAGTTCTTCCTTGTTGGGATCTGCAAGTTACAGACTGGCTGTGACTCATCCTGTAAAGCCCTAGAACAGGCAGAAATTAAGAGAGAATGGAGGAAACTTATCTGTATATTCTATAAGCCAAGATACAAGAATATCCCACTGAGCTGGCACATCCTGCTGTGCCAACATGTTCTGCCTAATGGAGGAATGCTGAAGACCCATGAGCCGAAGACTCCTGGAATTTTGGACCTCCTCAAAGTTTGGGATTTCTCAGGGTGCCATTTTGCCACTTTCGCAATGGCCCAGAGAATAAATGGGCCAAGAATAACCATAGTTGCCATTTGTAGGTGATTACTTTTGGCCAGCATGGTCCCAAGAATTTTACAGCTATCATCTCATTTAATTCTCTTTTTGAGATGACTGGAATCATTCCCATCTTATAGATGAGGAAGTTAAAGTTCAGAGAGATTAAGGTTTTACATCCAGTAAACGATTGTGCTAGCATTTGAACAAAGGACTATTTCATCCAGATTTTGCCGTTTAAATTCTTCTGGTGGCTGGCCAGGATGGGAATCTGGACTCTTGACCGTGGTCTTATAACACTGCACTCTGTGCTCTAACCGACTGAGCTAACCGGCCAGCTGGTTTTGCATTTTTATTCAGTGATACTGGCTACTTCTTCCGGCCCTTTTCTCAGCTTGGCCAACTCCTACTCCTTCTTTATGACCTAACTAAATATCAACCCTTCTGAGAATATCAGCGCTTCCCTGACACCACCAGGTACACTGCAGTGTTGTTATATGCTCTGGATGTTTGTGTCTACTTCTTTCAAACAGTCGGAGTTGTGCTTATGAGCTTCACAGGCAGGTCCTAATCATATCCAACCCGCATCTCTTCCCATTTCTTTGTGTACCCTTAGCACCAGGCACAGTCTCCATCCCATAGTGAGTACTTAGCTCATTTATTTAATGTTGAATAAATAAATGTAATATTGGCAATCAAAAATGATAACTGGAAGAGTGTGACCCCAATCACTGTGCTAAGAAAGTTCCCGAGCGGCAGTCTATCTACCCGCTCATGTTGGAATCCCAGCTGCACTGTGCACCTGAGTACGAATTCCTGTGAAATGTGCCTGTGGTCCTACTGTCCCAGCCTTGCCCTCCACACTGTGCACTTGTGAGACCTCACGGAGAACCAAGGTGGTTAGCTGGAGGAGATTTAATTTAGGGATAACTGTAAATAGAGTCAGATAGTATCCTGGCAGCAGCCAGAGCAAACTCCTGGTCAGACCTGGTGGGCCACTCCTGTACTCCCCATGTCCCCAAGGAAGAAGACTCCCTAGAAGCACCACTTCCCTTGCTGGGGCTCATGTCCAAACTTCCACCCCCTCACTTCACCTAAAAGTGCCCTCTCGTCTTCCTGGGCTTAGCAATATTCCCAAACCTCAAATGTTTCTCTGGGGACTTTTCTCATTGAGGGATTTTCTTTTTTACCCCCCCCCCCAAGTATGAAAGAAATGTTTCGTCTGACTTTAGGCATACTTGCCAGGTGTATCCCAAATAAAAACACTAGGATGTGATGGGGTGAACCCAAACCACCTCTGGAAGAAAGAACTTTTCTAGGCTCTTTATAAAAGTTGTTGTTGCTCTGAGAGAGCTGGGGGTGGAGGTGGTGATGGTGGAAAGTTTCCAGGGGTGAAAAGAAGGTGAGTGTCTCGCTCCTACCCATAGATGACGCCTGCCCTATATTCTCCTTGAGAATTCAGCAGTCAGCTTGTTTAGAACGTACATGTAGGTACTTGACCAGCTCCTGGGTATGTGTGCAGGCTTCAGATCTATTTTGAGAAGAGTCTTTAACAAACCTCTTGACTGTTTTTCAATATTCTTGCTCTTTTCTTTCCTCTGCTTGGTCCAGAGATTAGGCAAGAAATGGAGAAGAGGAGCAGGTGGCCACTTCCGAGTGTGTGGCAGCTCCTTC